GAACTCTATGTGTTGTATACCTTCATCATGACTCCATAAGCCCTATAGATATTACTAAAGTTCATTATGCTTACGGTTATTGATAAATATGTTGGAAAACTTAACTAGTTAGCAATTGGTTTACTCTTATGTTAGGGTGTTGGTATGTTGTCTATTCAGGTTAGATTGTACTATATTAGGTTTAGATTGTTTTTCAAGTCTATTTCTACTCACCCCTAACCTTGGTTGATTCTTATGTTAGGGGTGTTCGTATGTTGTCTATTCAGGTTAGATTGTACTATATTTTCTACTAGTGTTAGAGTGTTTTTCGAGTCTATTTTTACTCACCCGTAACCTTGGTATAGCATTACCCCTTCTAGAATTGGGTCGCATCTATTAAACTAACCATGGCTAGTCTATGCTTTTAATTAAATTTTTATCAAAAAGAAAAAAAAAATATGCTTTCTGTTGTAGCTTATTTTGTCTGACAGGGTTAAGAGGGCCGGCGGCAAGGAGAAGAGAGAGTGAGAGAGATGTGTTTGTAGAATTGTTTTCCCCTCCTACATAGTGCCTTTATTTATAGTAGAATCCAATATAATCTAGGATTTACACAATCACACTTAAACTAGGAAAGTTTACAACACTCCCCCTTGAGTGTGTAAATACTCAAGGTAGATTTAGCATCATGCAGAAGTTAAGGAAGTCGACTCGTCGGCACTGATTCTAAGGAACAACACTTATTCTCAATAAAATAGGAACTTGCATAAGTAAATGATTCTCACTAAAAAAACTCTAAGGCTATGGCAAAAACCTGAGAAGGGACAAAATTCATAGTTTAAGGAAAAATGCGCAAGAAATGCAAAGTCAAAAGAAACATCTACGGGACGTCATTAGAGATATGACCAGCCCAAGGTGGGTGCCTCATTAAAACCTAGTTAGGTAGCAAAAACTCAGTGGGAAAAATGCTCCTAATCGTAAGGAAAAAGAGTACATTAAGATCAAGCAAGTATCTTCAAGATACTCCCCCTGAGTTTGACACAATTCCAAAGAGAAATAGCAATGTTACAACTCAGAAAGTTTATGCATACCAATTCCATGAAGAAGCTTTTGAAACGTCGTCTTTGGCAGTGATTTGGTGAAGAGTTCTGCCAAATTGTCTTGTGAATGGATTTGCTTGACTTCAATCTTCTTATGCTCTTGTTGTTGATGTGAAAAGAAGAATTTCGGCACAATGTGTTTGGTGTTGTCTCCTTTGATGTAACCCTTCTTGAGTTGTTCGATACATGTTGCATTGTCTTCAAAGATCATCGTCAGGACATCAACGGCAAGATAGAGATCGCAGAAGTTTCGAATATGGCCCACTATTGCTCTCAACCAAAAGCATTCCCGAGTTCCTTCATGTAAGGCGAGAATTTCAACATAGTTAGACGAAGTGGCAACTAAGATTTGTTTAGTTGACCTCCAAGAGATTACAGTGCCTCCAACAGTAAAGAATCAAATAAAGTGTTTTCACATAAAGTACTAAAAAGTGTTTCCATACCCCAGAAACATTTCTTCCAACTATGCTAGAAACAATTTTGAATCCTTGCAAACTGACTCTTAATGCAGGCCAAGTTTTATCACCTCATGTGGCATCATTACAGGCATTTTAAATTATATACTCATCTACAGTGAGATTTATCGATTTTCATGTACATATAGTATATATTTATTTGGCATTTCACTTAGATCCAAAAAATTTATTATGCACTCTAAACCTTATAAATTAAACTAGAAACTTTGTATTAATAAGAATAGTGCATAATGACACATTTTGAGTGCCAATAACAACTTCCTTCTCGTATATATGTTACAAGTGACATAGCCTGATTAGTTTTAATCCAGCAGTATAACCAGTCCGGGCACTTTACTGTGAGAAGAGTGCATTCCCATGTTTCTTCTTATGACAAGATGGCACAACAGAGGATTATTATTCCCTATAATGGACAAAAGAGCTAGCTATTAGGTTGTGAAAATATAATTTAAAAAAGAGTACTATTATTCTCTGTTGCCAACGGATCCCTCAATACAGACTAGAAGGAAGAAAGGCCAACAAGAACCAGCACAGATTCTTAAATACCTCAAAAACCACTACCTGAGAGGCTGAGACAAACAAAGATGACGGAATTATTCTACATAATGGAATAATCAAAAACAGAAATAACAAACGCAGTCAAAAGTTTGACTAGAAAAAGACTGTGTAATGGATTAAGTGGAATTTTACCAAAGAAAATCATGCAAGTATATAATTAAGAATCAAGAGAACGTGGAGTAAATCCACAAAAGATACATTACTTTGTAGGAACTTTTGGTCAAAACTAAGAGCAGTGTCTGTGTCTCAGAGGTTCATGGAAAGTTCCATGAAATATGATTTGCACGCATAAATGTCCAAGGTTCCCTCCAACAATGCTACAACCCTACTTTGTAATTGATACATTACCCAAAATATAATAGTTTATAGAAAACAAATGCTACAACTCAAAGCCATCCATGACATACAAGGTAATCTCCATCTTAGTGCAGAAAAAAAAAATAGTCATCTCAGATAATTCTCTTGAAGGGATTAGATGCTTCAAATCACTTGAAGCACTAACGTAGTCAACCGTACAGCTGCATTTTATTCTTCTAGTGGAAAGGGGTAAAATAATAATTTTATAAAAATGTTTCAACTCAAAGCCATCCATGACATAATCACCACTGGGTGACCCAATGTTTGGAGATAAATTTCAAGTCCGTATTCCACACGGCACGTCCATGGTTCGATTCCTAGTGCTAGTTAATTGCACAATGGTGACCAGGAGGAGGCTGAAATGCCTCTGTGACTCTTCCCAACCCCATAAAGGGTGAACTGCAGTGGCAATGCCACCAACTAATCCCCTTTTTTTGGGAGAGGGGGGAAACCATCCATGACATATATACAAGGTAATCTCCATCTTAGTGCAGATAAAGAAAAAATAGTCACCTTAGTTAATTCTCTTGAAGGGATTATATGCTTCAAATCACTTAAAAGCGTTATGGTAGTTGAGCATATAACCTTACAGTTGCATTTTATTCTTCTAGTGGACTTTGGAAAGAGGTAAAATAATTAAATTCGCTAATATTTAAACTTAAGACCTATCACACTAAATGATACGATTCATATTTAAATATGCATAAAAATTTATTATTGGTTGATGTGCCCAAAAATCGAATTAGCATACGGTGTAGTGAAGTTGACCTTCACAGGAGTGCTTCGCTCAAGGGTAGAATGACTAAGTGATTTGCAAGCTAAGGAGAGCAGGTACAAAGGACACATGTGTGGTACTGGCTAAGAGCCTTTGATGCTTAAGTTAGTAATGTATATTTTGGACGCCACATGGGCGTGTTTATTGATAATATCATGAAGATTAGTAATTAATGGTTACTTTTAGAAGGGAGTAGAAGTTTGATGAGCTAGTCAATGTGGGATTGAATAGGGTTAATATTGTGTTGTCACTTGTCGTATCGTGATTGATTTTCAAGTTGGAGGGAAATCTTCTATTGGTTAAGGGATAACTAGTAAGTGACTACCACATGTCGTGGCCTCCCACCTGTTTGGGGTTAGTTTTGTGTGATTTTGGTATGGGTGCCCCAGCGAAAATTCAACAGGTTCATGGTGCTTTACAGGTGGTCGATACTCGGTAACTTTGAGGTTGATCATATACATGATACAAACATTTATTCATCTATCATCATAAAGTTTACCTTAAGCTTAAAGTTCAAAATTTTAAGCTCATTTTAAATTAAATAATTCAAAACAAGATTTACAAGAATACACTATTGTCATTCACTCCTTATAAACTTGACTTTAAAAATTTCATTTTGCGCTCCTCACAAAAGTATGTTTTTTTATAAGTAAAAATAGTTTGAAGTACAAAATAAGAATTTTTTAGTGCTAATAACAATTTTATGTACATAAATATGAAATGACTATATAGTCGCCATAGGATTTTTAACTTATTTTCTAAAACCCCACATAAAGATTGAATAGAAGATGGGGCAAATTTTCGTTTCGTAGATATTCCGACAACAACTAACGATTGTATGATTGGCCACACTGTCATTGCCGTTTATCGTTGAGAAGGCCTTGATCAGTTTTATTGTCAAACACAATACATCCTTGGGGGTCTTAGATAAATGCCATATCCTTTGGGAAATGATATATGCGATTGTGAAAGAGGTTGTCTTTATATGGAAAAATGAGGAATTATGTAGGCTATTGATTTGAAAATTGAATAGAGAATGGGAGAAAGTTGTTTTATTTTACTCTCCTTGGCTTCTTTTGAGCGACTTGTCTTCCTCTACTTCTTATTTTTTAAGGATGAACATGGAATACGCGAGGTTGATGTAAATATGCGGGTTGCAAATAAACAACCGATATGAATCAATATACAACTCTAATTGAATTATATGATGTGGAGTCAAGTCAAAACACCACAGCTAAAAGTAAAAAAACCAAAGTATTTAGTCCAAAAAATGTTGTAGAAGAGATCATAAGGATGTTGAAAGTACAAGGATAAAGAAACCGAGAATTCGCTGAATCAAAGGCAATTGAGCTCGATCAACATCGTTAGTCATAGATTTACTTGACACAACCAAGATCAACGCTTAAATATAAAATAAAAAAACATTCACTTATTAGTAAGTAATAAATATATAAGGGTTCGTTTAATAACAATTTTAATAAATAATAAAGTAGTTAACCATCAAAATTTCAGTTTATAGTAAGAAAATTAAAATTGAAAACGAAATAGTTACAAACTGCACATAAGTGAATCATTTGTTTAATTTGTACCTTCAACTTGTCAACGCAAAAAATACCACTGGCTAAGGGGCCTTAGATGCTGTTGGGTACAGGGCCTTTCGCTGGATTGAATCAGGCCCACATCTAATTGGAGTCCCGTGGCAACAACAAACCCAGAGAAGAGAGGTGGGCAACTCGGACAGGTGAGGTGGCTCTGTCATCGTGATTTTGTGGTGTTCAGTCTTCTGAGTTGACTCGAGTAACTCGTTAGTTGCCTTTCGGTTTCGCCGTGTTTTCTGCTTTTATAATTTTTCGACCAAAAAACCGTTAACTCTTTTGTTTATTTGACCATGTCTTGTGCTTCTGCAACTGCTGTAGCATCAGTCTACATTTCCGGCCCGAACTGTCCCGGCAGTCTTACCCACGTACCCATTTGGAGAAGCTCTTCTCTCAGACCACCGCCGCCGTCTTCTCTCGGCGACTTCTCCTTCAAGATCCCATGTGGGTCTTTCAGGCGGAGCTCCGTCCTCACTGGATTCAGAAGTACTTCCCCCGTCGTTATGCAATGGCAGGACTGCACGTAACTTCCCAGATTTTTCATTTATTTATTTATTTTCTTGCTGGCCAATTTGAGTATTATGGCTATCAGAAAGTAGTTCGATTGGTAATTGGTAACATGGATTAATATGTGGAATTATGTTTTGGTTACTTGGGCAGATTATACATTAGCAAATTGTTATTTGTTTTTTTATTTGTACAAGCAGTAGTGGGGAGGGGGGAATCGAACCTAGGATCGTGGATCTCGGAACTCCGGTTAAGTGCTCTTAACCAACTGAGTTACAAGCCCATTGCTCCATTAGCAAATAGTTATTGATTCAATATGTAATGAAACAGTGAAACTGTTTCTTATGTTTGGGAATTCCTACGATGCTTAATCTTTTTTTCGGAATAGTTTTATAGTACAATGCAAAACCATAAAGAATGTGAACTAGTTCTTGGAGTGAGGTGTAGCATGTTTGTGATCAAAGCCTTACTTACTGCTACTGATTACTAGACAATGTGATCAAATGCAGAGTAAAGATGGAAATTGATGTGCCTATTTCCGTTGCATATGATTGTTACTCTGATCGTGAGGCGATTCCCCGTTGGATGCCTTTTATTTCAACCGTGAAGGTGCTAAACTACTCTCCTACTACTCTTTAGATGATATTCAAAGCAAATTTGATTTTTCTTGTCAATGCCTACTCGAGAATTGAGATATAATCAATACTTTCCCAGCCTATATTTTGTTGTTAAAGTTCGCTAATTGTGAGGGAATAATTGATTTGCTCTGATCTGATTCCTCAAGAGTTGAGAGTAAAATGTTGCAGGGGATATGATTTCAAGTTGGCCGATTACAGATTCAGTTTTTTCATTTTTCAAAGATTGATACTTGATTTGTTTTCGTCACATTTTGAAAGATTGATATTTGATATGGTATATTAAAAACAGATATTGGAAGACCAGCCTGACCTATCACGATGGTCACTGAAGTATAAAGCTTTTGGTCGTAATATTGAATTCTCATGGCTTGCTCGGAATATGCAGGTAAGATTTACATTTTACTTAAAATCTGTTTTTCCTTCCATAATTCCTTCATCTACCGTAAGAGCTGAGTTCAATGTTGTGTCATTACAATAACCCCTTTCTCACTCTCTGCAAAAACTTCATGCAGCCTACACCAAATCAGAAAATCCACTGGAGATCTCTAGAAGGGCTTCCTAACAGGTCAGAAGACGAGATATTTTAGCAGAAGCTGTGTACTTTAGTAGCGTTTTTGCTCAAACTATAAGTGTGGTTCTTGTCGTCTGTACTTTAAATGAAGCATTTGTACCTACAGTTACCGGGATTTATCTAACAACAGTACTTGTACACTGTCATCCTAGAGCTTATATGTTAGTCATTGTTTAAGATTTATCATGGAAAATATGATAACTCGACAAGTAAAAACAAGTACCCATAAAATTTTAGTCATATATGCGGTTTCTGTGTTGGTACATAGAAAACTAGAAGCTTAGCAGTTCAATCCCTAGCACAACTAAAGGACGGGATCTTAGTCTTTCATCATCTTAAGTGGAAGCTGCATTTCATAGGATGCAAATGAGTAATTGAGAAAACAGTGAAAAATGTTCGATATATCTTGTTTTGAATTGTCTGGAAGCCACTCTGTAGTGTATGACAAACAAAATGATGCTCATGTCATTGAGGTTACAAACCGACAACATGCACAAATATAATGTTTAACTAGTGATTGTATGTTGTATGCAAATGAAGCAGACGCTTTCCTTTGCTTTATATTGATACTGTAATCTTGATAAACTGTTTTACTTATTGTATCCGCAGAGGTGCTGTTAGGTTCTATCCGAAAGGTCCTTCATCATGCTTAGTAGAAGTGAGGCTTTCCTGTCATATATTGAACTTCAATTTTTTGCAATTCTTATTTTTTAGTGTTATACATCTTTATTCACTTGGTCTGATCAAGCCATCCAATTGGTGCCTCGCGAGGGGTGATCAGTCGTCGTCAATTTGATTGTTTTACAACTTGTCCTCATTCCTTGGCCATCAATTGAACGGCATTAACGCATCTTAATTGGATTGGTAAAATGCAAAATAATTCCCGTTGACAGGGTTTCCTGTTCCAGGCTTCCCATATCTAGGGAAAAGGCCATTTTTGCTTCTCATTTTTCACATTGCATTGCTCATATTGCTCTTATCAATTTTCAATTGCAGCTAACGGTGTCATATGAAGTTCCGCCAATTCTGTCTCCAGTGGCATCAGTAAGTATTCTAACTCTGTGCTTAAGTGATTATACATTCTCCAGTCCGGAGACCCTAATCCAAATTCAAGTCAGCTAAAAAATGTAGAGACGTTTTTCAATTGCGATGTTGTTTACTTTACGGTGGGGGTGTAGTAATCCATCATTACTTTGATTTCTGATGTGAATCCTCCAGGCGCTTCAACCATTTCTTGAAAATTTACTTGGACGTGGCTTGGAAAGGTTTGCGACATTTGCAAGAACCTACAAAACAGACTCACCAGTTTGATATTTTAAATGAGTAACCACTTCATCTTACCGAGTGATTTTCCCACTGAAGCATTGTTTGATATTATACCATTTGGGTCCAATGACCAGCTTCTCTGAGGCTGGCTTTTCCCTCTTGTAAGTTACTTCTTCCCAAAGGCAAAGAATGAAGAAATTATTCATATAACCTCAACTTTTTGCTTGAATTGTTAATCAATGAAATACTAAGGCTCTCTCTCTCTCTCTCCCTCTCTCTCTCTCACTGTTCTTGCGCCACTCCTAATATTAAGAATATTTTGTGATCTCAATCAAATTACACAGCGTCGTCAGGAATTTGTTGCATTTTCTCAATTCAATCAGGAAGTTTTTCTAAATTCAGTCAGGGATTCGTCGCATTTTCGCAATTCAATCATGACTGTCAATTTCCAATTCTACTAACTGGTCCAGACAAGCGTCTGTCAAATGCTGTGAATAACTTATGCGTTATTTGTTGTTAGCCAAGTGCCAAAAGAAAAAAACATACTCGAGAGAGAAGGAAAGAAAAAAGAAAATGAAGATCCCACTAATATACATAAATACACATGACCGGATTAGAAAAGGGCTACATTGGATGGACAATACAATCACACTGGACTAACTAAAAGAAAGAATGTATCAACAACATGCATCTTTTTACAACACTACGCCATCCGATCCACACCCCCTTTCTTATGTATGTACATAAATCCTGAATTCACCGAGGTATACACGAGTAATCCAAACACCTACAAAACTGCTAGCTGCTCTTTTATCTCGCGACTGAAGCAGCCGAAACAATGTACGGTCGCTTACGAGGAAGACCCTTACTGAAAAATTGCATGTACAATCAGCTACCGGCACTACTGTCCAACAAGGCCCTCAAGCTACAAAGGGCCTCAGCAGAGAGGCTGCAGCACCTTAATCTCCGTTCTCGCTGTGGCGATAGATCCCGGTGATCAAGGGGGGAGAAGCATACAACGATCACCGTGAGGTTATCAAACGTGTTGAGGCGAAGAGCCTCCATGACAAGGTCCCTGGCACACTGCTCGGGGTCGTCATGACGCCTCAGCCCGCGGCGAACAAGGCTAACAGCATGCTGACTAGACATCACATCCCAAATCCCATCACACCCTATAATTAGAAACTCGTCATCCTCTGTTAAAACCACCTGCCTGAACTCTGGCTCGGCGATAAGGGGTGACGAAGATCCACGAGGAAACTTCATGTCCCAGTCGCCTAATGCTCGGGTAACTGATAAGACACCGTTCAGATACCCATCATCAACATATCCACCTAATTCTTCTATCCGCCTCCTTTCTGTGGGATATATTGGCCTGTGGTCTTGAGACATATCAATTGCTTCTCCTTTCCGACAGAGTACTGCTCGGCAGTCCCCAGCATTGGCCACCATTAAAAGCCTGGAGAAGACGATGACAAGGTCAATTACAATGAGAGAATAAAAAATATAGCATGGACAGAGACAGAGAGACACAAATGGCAACACTAACAAGGTCTGTAACAACTAAGATAAACCTCTCACTCGGGATAGCTTAAATCAATGCAACAGGTTGACCAATCATACAAGACCTACTAGTTCGAAAGGGTAAAACATAGCCGCATAATTTTGTGGATAGAAGAAAATACTAGTCAATAGTAAATTTTGGAAGTGAAGTCTAGTTACAACAAGGAAACAGGTCCTTTTTTTCAGTGGAAAGAGTGGAAAAAGATTTTAAGCAGAAGTATACCTTCCAAATATCATAGCAGTTAATGCTGTTGTCCCCGAAGAACTGCTTACACTGCAGTCATCAGCCAAAGCAAGGTCAACCAGATGAAATGCCTTGCGGAGGGAGTTCTCAAGCTCCTCTGAGAAAATTTCATCAACGTCAGAAGTTCGGGGAAATTTGGCACCTTCAAAAAAGAGTCTGAGCACATTTTTCCGGACATAAGCTGCTGCTTCGGGTCCTCCATGTCCATCAAATACCTATATGACATTTTCAACCACAGTAAGCTCCAAACAAAGAATCAACTAAATTCAAGGCCATCGCAATTACAAGTCCAAAGCGATATATTACCCCATAAAATGCATTTGGCTTGGGAAAACTAAAGAGTGGACCCAAGTGTGAAGATAGATCATCTATTAGAATATGTTCATCTTCCATGTACCTACGGTGTCCAATGTCAGCAAAGCTACCAGAACGCAGCCTGGGGAAGAATAGCTGGTCGGCCGAGGCAGGAACAAAATCTGGAATTTTGTCTGCAGGTTTAGCATCCTGAAAAGGAGTAATGACAGAGAAAATTAAACGCCAAGATTTCAATTGAAACACAAAAACTACTAATCCTGCTTGCAAGAATAGTTGTTAATGAGCAACAATTTACCCTGCTGAAGTTCCAAGGCATACGACATATATGAAGAGAATGTACTAAACCGCAACAACCTCCCGAGCTTTTGCGAACTTAATTTTATACAGGTCATATTTTCAATTTACTAGGCAATTCATAACGGATAAGTTTGACAATGATCGGATAGTTCTATGCTCACAAATATACTTAAGCAGTGATAATATCATCACATCAAGGTTACCAAAAGTCCCGCCTTATTAGACTAGAAATTGACTACAATTTCATCTACATCAAAACTCGACTAATGTTTTGATGAAAGATTCTAAAACAGGTTAGGCGCTAGTCAGGCGGTGAGCTGGAGCCTAGCGCCTAGGCGGCTAGGTAGATTTAAGTAAATCTACTATATTTCGTGTAAATAACTATATGTTTATACTTAAAATATATATAATTTCATCATAAATTACCACATAGAATGATATATATACTATGATGCATTGGAACACAATAAAAACATGAGAAATAAGCATATAATGTGTGTTTATTTAAGTATTCAACAAGTTCCTACAATTTATTAAGAAAAATAAAATGCAAAATAAAAGTTATTTATTTTTTGTCTAAGTCAATCACAAGTGCCTAGCCTGGACCAGTGCCTAGGCGGTCTAGGGGGCTAGGCCAAAAAGTCATTTCTTAATTTTCAAACCCGCATTTATCGGGTGGTAGTCATCTGTCTAGCGTCGGGATTTTTAGAACAGTTGAACACAATACAATCCTAATTTCTCATATGTGATAGCAGAATTTCTCAGTAAGCAAAAAAACCCAATTTCGAAAAGTCAGAACCCAAATCATCAAATTTCAAAACCCAGATGCATGATCACCTAAAAAGTAAAAACAAACAAACCCACATGGAGTTTAACAACCAAAAGATTAAATAGTCCAAAAGCAGGGAACTTGAGGTTCAGAAAACTCACGACGGCTTGCGAGCTCAAGAGAGGCGGCGGCGGAGTCCGGTTCCGAAGAACGACTCCGGTCAAAACTCTTGGGCGACGAAATCGATTGGGTAACTGCAACTACATCTTCAACTTCGTGAACATTTTTGGTAAAGTACTGAACATCCAGCACCGGCATGCTCTGCTGACACACAACCTTAGCTTCTGCCACCATTTTCTATCAAATCATGCCACGCAAACAAACACCCCAGACAATATCACGATCCCACAACGTTGTTAAACTCGAACAAAACTTCGACAACCAACGACGTCGACGAGGGAGACGAGGAGGAAGAGAATCCGATGATTTTTTTTTTTTTTCCTCGCGGTTTCTGGAAAATTTTCTCGCACTTTCGGTTCGTTTTTCCTTTTCTTTCGCTGAATCAGCAAAAATCGGGAAAGTCGTGGTGGAACCGGTATATATAGGGTCGGGTGATTTGGCGAGACCGGTTACCGCGTGACCTTTGGGATGTTTCGTCGATATTACTCAAATGCCCTTCATTCCCTCTCTAGACTCCAGCACGATTAAGCTGTTGCTTGCCGAGTTGACTTTTCAGTTTTCCTAATGCTATGCAAATAATAAGCAGTTTTTTTTTTTTAACATGAAAAAAGAGAAAAAAATAACACTGAACAACTAATTTAGCTCTAACTACTCAGATCAGTCATTGAAAAGAATTTAAATTAAGAAAATAAACAATTATTGCAAGCTTTTGAAGATTCATCTCACTATTTAAAATTAATTTGACTAACTCGTCAGCTGTAAAATTTCACTCAATTTTTTAGTGTAACGTTTTGATCCACTAATACTTGTTACATGGGGAGACAATACATCTTTAAATTAAAGGGGTGTGCTATCCACACATCCTTTGATGATTTTTATTCGTTGATCTTCTTCAATTCATCTGATCCGACGGACGAAAATTAAAAAAGTGTGTGAGAAGTAAAATGGGATGTGTGGATATCACACTCCTAAATTAAAATAGTGAGTGACGATAATTTCCATGCAATTTATACTTTAGCAAAGGGTATTTTAGGAAATAAGTCGCTATTGCCGTGTAGGAACTTTGAACAAGAAATGTCAGCGTTCACGCATTACAAAATTGTGTGCTGACGTTGCAGGGTGCTTGATGGGACGGAAATGCCCCTCTAATCCCTGTTCTTTTAGAGTAAACGGCATACATTCAGCAGGCTGTCGTTGAATGTTTTCATCTAACTCGTCAAACGCGTTCGAACGAGAGGTAGGTTCCACGTCGAGATACTGGGACGGTGTGATGCAAAACACACCCACTGTCTTTTCTCAACAAACCTTTCTTTCATAAAAAATAGAATAAATTATACAAAATTACCTCAATTATTGAATCATTAACAGTTTTATACATCGTTTTTTTAAAGTTTCAATGTCCTACCTCATCTACAAATTTGTTACAATTTCATACATTCCGTCAGTTTTCTGTCAACTCCTCTGTTAAATGCTAACGTAGCTTGAGACGGGACTCATTTTTTATTTAAAAAATAATTGAATATTTAAAAAATAAATTAAATATTAAAAAAAAAACCAAACCCACACCAGATCCCCTTCCCCACCCCGCCCCCCCCCCCCCCCCCCCCGAGAAAATCCCCATCCCCTTCCCATCTTCCCCTTCGACCCGTCCCCCCCCAACGCCCCCAAAATTCCAAACCCAGAACCCCACCCCCACCTCCCCTGCAACCCCCCTCTCTCTCCCCACTTTCCCACTCCTCACACATATTCTCACACATTTTCTTCCCCAAAAACAAATCCCAAATCGTGCGGCAAAGGGAGAATGGGAGAGCCCTGTGAAAGCGAGCCAGAGACAGCGAGTGC